TGCTCTGCTCTGCTCTGCTCTGCTCTGCTCTGCTCTGCTCTGCTCTGCTCTGCTCTGATATTATTTTGTTGTTTATCAGGAATGGACAAGACATTTCAGCGTGGTGACCTCCTGGACCACGGAGTCATGGTCAAAGTCATTCCTGTTCACTGGGGCAAAGACAAAAATCTGGACAAGAACACCATCAGTTGTTGGTATCGCCCTGGATTTAGATGGGCACCTCAACGAGGTCAAAGCGTCATTCCTAAAAATCTTAATAAATTCAAGGTAATATAATGAATTCCCATTTCAGACCACGCGTCATTCCCTAGAGTATAATTTCTTTGTTTAATGGTTGTGCATGAGAAGACATATGAATATGTATACACYTCAAAAACAGAATTTTACATGTATTCTAAAGAGAACGAAACGTGCGTGTCTGAAATGGGAAAACGTACATTACCCAAAGGTAAAGATGCCCATTTGACTTTTTTTCGAGCCATCGGCATCATTTGAATTGGTAACCAAGTCTTGCATCAAATTGAGGCACATTTATGCACGCATGCGCTCTTTGATTGTGCCTCTAACACTTTGATTGTTTTACAGTTTGCTGGCGAAGAATTCCGTAGCGGGATGCCCACGTTAAAGTACTTGCGAAAGACAACAACATTCAACAAGAAAAACACTTATACCTTATACATCACTAAAGAGAAGCCACATCGTCCATTGCGTTACGTCATGCATGGTCGTGACACACTTTTGCATTCTTCTTACGATCATTACGTCATAGATTATCTTACATTTCACCCGTGGAAGTTCGACTTTGAAGTCATGAAAATACCAAAAGGTATGAATTAAGAATGCATGTATGAATTCATATATATATCAATGTGAATAGAAATTTGGTCGAAAATTACAACACWGTTCTCTAGAGCAGTTTTCGTATGACTGTGAAAAGCTCAGTGCCGTATGCATGCCTTACCGTGACCGTGATACTTTCTAGRATTTTAATTGGCTGATTTTTTTCACGCGCAATATGATTGGTCTAAAAGTGTCGTGATCTTGGCGTGACCGTGTCCGCGCCGCGTTTATGCCGTGTTCCGGGTATTTGATTGGATAAAGAGTTAATTTTCGAGCAATGTGATTGGTCTGACGTATCCCTTGCCGTGTCAYGACCGTGTCTCGTGCYGTGAGCTTTTCACAGTCATACGAAAACTGCTCTATTAATCATTCCGAGGCTGAGGAGAAAACTGGGTCGAGTTAGCATTGCAGTGCATCATGGGACTGTTTTATGAGTCGACCCTCACCACGGAGATGCTTTCTCCCAGTGCATGATTAATGAATGTTTTTGCCTTTAAAGGAAACTTTTGTGAGAAAACTTTAAGTAAACATCGATCGAAACTTCACTTCAACCCGATGGCGGAGTTTATGCATGAGAATTTTGATGATATTGACGTAGAGGAACTGTACGAGCATTACAAGAAGAAACACGGTAAACAGTACCCAGATGAGAGAGAACACGAGCAGAGAAAAAATATATTCAGACACAATATGAGGTAAGATAATATGAATATCTGTGTGGCAAATACAAATAGACGTAGTTTTTTCGAGTTTCAAATTACTCAGGGTTAGCCTCGTATCAATATTCACAAATACCAACGGTAAAGTAAWGAATGCACGACTTTAACAATACAAAMATTTTGAAACTCCACGGACCTTCACTGGAACACGTGAATATTCTGCACAAAAACGAGGCTAAGCCTGAGYAACAGAATACTCGAAACTGGAGTATTCAGGAGTCTAATTGATAACAGTGTTTCTTGGGTGACCGAAGGGTTTACCTTCCATAGATGAAGTTTTTCACTTATAGGAATAATAAATATGTTAAGAGTGACTGTCTGTAACCATCGAGCAAAACGTGGCAAACTTCGAAAAATCGATTTCGCTCATACTTTCAAGTTAGTTAGGGTAATGTATCCTAAGAATCGCTGTATAGTTGGTTTGATCAAATAACGCTTTATTATGGAGAAAAATGGAATTTTTCAAACACTCCCGAAAACGCC